CAAAAAGCTTCTGACAGTTCCATCAATCCCAGTTCCAAACAGTTAATGACTACATTTTCTTCTGGACAGGAAAAGGGCAGAACCAGACCCCAACCCCCCTTTCCAAAGCTCTGAGCATGCTTCAGCCATCATTCACTTACTCTGCCACTCCTGAAATCATTCTTCCCAATCATTCCTCTCCCACAAGATGACACCACAAGACTGGGAAGAAGGAAGCAGGCTCAGATGCCAAGTTGGCCAAACAAACTGGAGTTCTCTTTCTAAAGCTTCAGCACTTCTGAATCACTGAGGCAGGTGAGCACCTACAATACCTGGGCTCATTACCACAAGCAGAGAAGAAAAAGCATGGGAAGAAAGATGAAAAGTATTGAATTAGCTTTTTTTCTTTTTACAGTCCATCAAAGGCCATCTTTAAGAAGCATTTCACAGCCCACTTAAGACTTAAAAATAATAAATTGCCATTGTAATTAAATACATTTGTTTCTCACTGTATTACTTGGACTGTATTTCTACACATAAGTATACATACTACATATATTTATACATACATGCTTTTCTGCAACAAGCCAGTTAGCCTCCCTCGTCCCTTTGTCAGAAAGGACAGTTCCGAGTGTGGATTTTGTACAAGCAGCTTCCCTTAGCCTAAGCAAGTAACTCTGCATTGTGATCTTGATCAATTTTCAGTTCTACCTTATATTCTTCCCCTTTTTAGTTTCACCTCTTCCTCCTGCTGCCACTACAAATGTATTTTGACATTCTACACCCTGAAAACCTTTCCAATTGTTCATTCATTATTTCCCTTTTCCTGAATTTCCAACCACTGTTGATAATCTCTAGAATTTTACTATCTTTCTGCTTTCCAATCTCCAACCAATTTATGAAGTTAAGAATACCAAGTTAGAGCAAGCAGGTGAAAGACACAAAGGAAGCAACCTTAGTAATGATCATGAATGAGAGAAATGTGTACGTAGCAAAGCAATAACTATCACATTGGATGATGACACGAGTGAATGCAATAATCGCAACAGTTCTGTGAGTATTCATTAGGGAACACAAATGAAGTACTTTAAAATGGTGCTTACAGAAGAACAGACTTGGAGCCAGACAGAAGTATTAATTAGCTTCTTGCTATAAAGCAGGTTTTGAACCAAATGAGCTTCATTAGAGTAAGACTACAGATGTCAAGATTGCAAGTTAAGGCTACTACACTGGACATTAAGTAGCCAGAAGACTAGGAAACAAAAACCACATAAAAGTCAATCAATGCCAAACACAAAATAGCTAATAATGGGAAGAGAACAGAATATTGTCGGATTCAGAAGCTGGAAACATAAGTTAGGACAAGTGAAAAAGAAATACATGCTGGTGAAATAATATCAGTGCACAGATTAAGAGAAACATATGAAAAGAACTGTATGAGCTACACCTGCATTTGAAAAAACCTATTATCTGCAAGGCAAAATATTTGGTATCAATGAAAACCAGAACAACTGTTGACATTATGGATCTCAGTGCTGGAATATGAAAAAATCTGATTAAAAAAATGGCAGAGATGAGATGGCCAAGAGGAATATTAAGGGATTCAGAAATGTAAAACAGATATAAACATCATAACATCGCTAGTTAAAGACTAGCAAAAAGTATCAAATTCCAAGCTCATTCTCAGACTGCACAGCCTCTACTTGTACTCGTCTTTTGCTTTTCTTTCTACTGTCTCACACTCTTTTCTAGAAGATGGTCATTCCAGGGACTCCAAAGGAATCTTTTTCTCATGTCTTTCTCTTCCCTATACCTCACCTAGATGATCCAATTTACAAAACAAGAAATCAACTTGTCCACAAACTTTGATAACTCTGCTTTTTTTTTTCCCCTCACACAGTACAAAGTTTTTCTGACCAAACTAGGACCTCAACAGACCTGATACCTCCATATGGGTGTTTAGCCATGAGCTTAAGTTCAGCATTGACCAAACAACTCACCACCCTAAACCTCTTTTTTCCATTTCTAGAAAATAACACTCTCTGCCATCATACCCTTAACTGCAATGTTACTTTTCATTTAGGCAGATGGGAAGGAACGAAAGAAGTGACACAATTTAAAGCCTGAAAATGTTACCTGCATCGCATTTCCAAGATTCATCATCTTCCCTCTGTGCACAGAACTGATGCTCCTGTCCAGTTCATCTTTATCCCTGTGTTGACTACTGTTCCGTCTCCAGCCTTGGCATGTTCCATCTCAGTTCACCAATTTCCTTTTAAAACATAACACTAAAGATCACTTTAGTACTTCAGTGGGATGTTCCAAAGACATGACCATTTTTCTGTTTATCCATTTATCTCCCCCTGCCCCCCTGACAAACTGCTTGTCTTCACCTTCAAGGCCTTTTTTGGTTTATTTCTGTCTTCATGTTAAATCAAAATATTGACTTTCGTTTCACATATCACACTGAAAGGTTTTTTAAAATTCCTTTGTAATCTCACTCAAAATGCCTTATGCATAGAAAAGCATAGTTTTTATTCAAAATTCCTCTTGAAGTTTTCATTGAGAACAATGATTTGACAAGTAGTTTGCTATGACGATTTTACAATTCTGACCAGTAACACGCCATTATTTCTTTGCTGTCATATTTGTGTGATGCCTACATTTTTAGAATGACCTCAAGAGAGACTTCACCTACCTAAATGCTACTGTAATACAAATAATATATAATGGAAAAATATTAAATCTGATACACATAGAAATGGTACTAAATCAGTGACCACAAAGTTGAATTACATATATTTACACACATGCATACATACAATGATCAAGTCATACCAAAATGAAATAGTTACATACAGCAATATTTGTATTCTTCCTTTAGACACACTGTTACTACATACAATGAAAGTCACATAAAACGAAAGAAAGGCATTTGTAGGTGTGCTTTAATTGCTACTCTAGCTGTATCTTCAGCAGCACTATTGCAGCATTTCCCAGTACATGACACCTGGTAACAAAGCATTCCTCGAGCATAGCTGCAACACTCGTTAGTGTCTATGTGCAGGGCAAGTGCCTCCAGGACATTAAAAAGAAAGCTAGAGATAGAGAAACAATAGATGGGAGGATGCCACCAAGTATGTACTTCACAAGAATATAGAATCAAAACTCATTCTTCTCTCTCAAAAAATACACACATTTAATGTTGGTCTTTTAATTCTAAGAAAAAAGCAATTCCAAAAATACAAACTGAACATCAGAGTCAAGTCAACCACCATAATAAAATGAAACAGTGACATTCACAATAGTTAAGTCTATGGACAGCTTAAGTTTGACAAATATTTTCTCCCCCCCACTAAACTCCAAGTACATTCCAATATTTATCTTTAAATGAAACGTTACGAAAAATACTGCTGGTGTTCAGTTAGAATTAAAGGACTCTGGTAAAGTGAAACAATAAAGAGATACAGATGGTGTGAGTAAGGTTACAAAGGCTTTACATTTTGCATTATCCCAAGATATAAACATTCAAAAATTAACATGAAGTTGCTGTGTTATCAAAATATTGCAGCTATAGGCAAGGCAACATTAAATTAATAGCTGAGGGTGTGAGGAAAAAAACCACATTTTAGTGAAGGTAAACAGAACTGGCAGTTTTTAATTAGCATTTTTATAAAGCTAATATTACCTGGCCAGCTATAAACCAAGCACAGGATAAAAAGCTTTCTCTGCTTCCTTTGGCTATAAGGTGACAGGAAAAAAATTTAAAAAAAAAAAATCACCTTTTCAAGATGTTCAAGACCAGCAGAAAAAGTCAAACAGTCAAGTAATGGAATAAATAAGTACTATCCCAGGCAGTACACTTTGAACCACTCTGTCATTTCTAAATGTTACATAATTTTATTTTGGTGGTAAACTGTAAGCATATAAGAAAACTAACCTTATGCAGTACAGTGAATAGCCACCAAAGTAAAAATATTCCTCTGTTTACTCTTTGGCTAAAACCCCCTCAAAAGTAGCAAAGAAAAAACATCTAATACTGGCAAAAGACTTATTTGACTTTTTTTTTTTTAAAACAAGTAAAATAAACTTATCAATTTAAAACTTGGTACATTTAAAAAAAACAAAAGAGGTAATGTTGTAGTAGAATCAGTAATGTTATTTCAAATGGCAACAAACTGTTTGTTGACCCTGTGCAATAATACACTTTTTTCATATTATGCTTATCAAAACACGACTGTTTCTACAGATATGAAAGAATCTTGTGTGTGACTCCTGACAACTTAGTTTATAACTAGGACACAAGATTTACAGTGTACCATAATATCTTTCAAATGGTTATCTTTAGCAGAGTTAATTTCAAAATGTTCAGATCCTGCATTATTTTTTAACAGTTAATTCACATGGAAAATAATGGACTATATTACCTAGAGCATATGAACATCAATGACTGCACCCATTGCCAGAACACGCTGCACTGGTTTGACACTTTTCCTTAGTACACAGAAAGCAACAGCACCCAATAAGCCTGAGAAGAAATGCTGCTGTGTAAATACTGGCAACTATTCCTGAAAAAAGAATTATGGGATGTATTCTCAGAAGCTGCCCAATCCCATAATTTGTATTGCATAGGTCACAATCACACATATATATACACGCACAAGTATGTGTGAGCATATATACATATGTATATACACACACAGGCGCACACACACACACACAAAGAATATATTAAGACAACAATGAAGTCTGGTCACAGAGCAATTTACAGGCTCAATATATTTTTCTTTTTTTTCTTACACTTTGAAAGAAAACTTCAGTATTTTACAGTCTTCAGTAGGCATTATATACACTGCACTTATGAAATCTAGAAAGTATTGAAATAGAAATACATTTCTGCAAACATTTGGGTAAGAAAACAAACCAAAATTTTTCAAAGATTTGTGCTATCTACATAATATTTTCTCTAAATCACAATAACTGTATTCATGGAATGTTCTCTAGAAAATGTCTTTTTTTTAAAACACCATGCACATTTTTAAGCAATTGCAACCCAAAATATCCCAACCTAAAACAATCTAACAATGTTCAGATTAAAAAATTTAAGTTTCAGATCAGATTTAAAAAGATAAGTCTTTATCACAAGAGCTGTAATGATAACAATTACATGTTAAGGCTAAACTGGTTTTGTTTTGTTTTTAGAAACACATTTAAAGACACGTTTCTCTCGTGGCTCTGCATTATGAACTGTACTTACAGATGACAGTGCAGTGAACATAATGTTCAGTCCTACAGTCAGGATGCAGTTGCTCCTTCCCACTCCACAAGATACTGCACCTTTCCATCAAGTGTCACCCGACGAGCCAAAACACGGTATTTTTCCCCACAAGCTATTCTACCCGCTGCACCAAAATAACTAGTAATCGAGTTCTTTAGATGATTGAGCTGTAACTCCTGATCTGCTAAGTTGTTAAGTATCTCTGTATTGAGTTCATCATACTGGTAATCTTCCTTGCTCTCATCATCTTTTACAATTTCCGAATTTTGAGTCTGGAGTGCTTTTCGTGGAAAGCGACCTCTTCTTCTCAAATGTGGTATTGCAGCAGGCCAAGTTCTTCCTGTACGAGTCCTTTTTCTCGAGTCAGATAAACTACTTAAACACAAAACAAAAAAATCCAGCATTAACTCCAAAGAACTTACTCAAAATGTATGCTTTATCGCCAGTTATCTCCATTCAATTCATAATTTTGTTCTATTTTTCAGTACTAAAAATACTCATTGCCTATAGATATGTGACTATAAATGACACTTGCAAGATAAAGATTTACATAAGGAAAATAGTACTAATTTAACTAAATGTCAGAAAGATTAGTTAAATGATAAATGATAAAGCCTATGCCTAGATAGGTTAAGAGTACTATTTTGATACAGCTTAATCAAATTTTTTTGCTTAAGCAAATTTTAAAAAACTGTTTTGAGAAGTCTGCAACAACTTGCATGGCAAGGTTTTGGTAGCTAGAGGGCTACTCTTCTGTGAGAAGCTGCTAGAAGGTTCTCCTATGTCCAACAGAAACAGTGCCAGCCAGCTCCCAGACAGACCTGTCGCTGGCCAAGGCCGAGCCCATCAGTGACAGTGGCAGTGTCTCTGGGAGAACAGATTTAAGAAGGGAAAAAAAACAAACTGTGCAATGGGAACTGCAGCTGGAGAGAGGAGGGAGAATATGTGAGAGCATAAGCTTTGCAGACACTAAGATCAGTGCAGAAGGAGGACCAGGAGGTGCTCCAGGCACGGGAGCAGAGATTCCCCTGCAGCCCATGGTGAAGACCATGGTGAGCCAGGCTCTCCCCCTGCAGCCCATGGAGGAACCTACACCAGAGCAGGTAGATTCCCGAAAGAAGGCTGTGACCCTGTGGGAAACCCATGCTGGAACAGGTTTCCTGGCAGGACTTGTGACCAATGGGGGACCCACACTGCAGTAGTCTGTTCCGAAGGACTGAACCCTGTGGAAGGGACCCAGGCTGGAGCAGTTCATGAAGAACTGCAGCCTGTGGAAAGGAAGATTTATTATATGTAGCCAGTAAAATATGTATATCCAAAATTCACACAGATTTATATCTGGTAATGACAAAAGAAGCTTCTGACATTATCCAAGAATAAACCATCATCCAAATATTAAAAGTGTCCAAGATACAGATATAAGTTTTTACATAAGGATTTATAATTTGCACATATTAAAACATGTTTGATAAAGTCCTACATTAAATGGTATGTGAACTTTGATGTTCAATACTCATTGCTATGTAACATACTGAGGAAAAAAGCAAATCTTTTTAACATTAAGAAAGAAAATGGAATAAAGAGCAGAAATACAAAACAGTGACTTAAGTCCTTCGGTAACAACTTCAGAAGTCTATGAGTTAAACATGAGTTTTTGAAGACAGACTATTTGTAGCAGTAAACATAAAAATTACTCATGAAAGCACTTGATAGCATGAACCAGAAAGAGAGGAGACAAAATAAGTAGACTGAGGATCCATGTACCTCAATAAAAGAGAAATTTGTTTGCCGAACTTGAGAGGGAAAAGTTCAAGTAACAATTTATTTGCAGAAAAGTTGATTGTAGTTAATAATTTATTTATGAAGACAGTGCCAAAAATTTTTCATGCTCTATTGACTGCAGAAAAATCACAGTATACTTACTATTCTTTAACATGAATACACAAACCTACAAAAACAAAAGCTGCTAAAATTAATTCAGGGTGCACATCAGTTCTTTTGTGGCCTTCATTAGGAAACTAAGCTCAGGAAGTGCTTATGGAGTTTAATTCTTTTCAGTAAGTGTAATTTAACTACATATTTTACATCAACAAAGAACAGTAGTTAGCGAGCACAAACACCCCTGTGTTGTATGCAGAACTAACAAAGACTTGTTTTCTTCTGTCCTATTTCTTTAGATTTCTTCCATGCAGTTTATAGCTCTACTGAGTCTCAGTTGCTCATTACTCCAAATCCCAGTGAATTAACACATCCTCAATGTTATATACCCCTTCGCAATATCCTCAGTTCTCTATTTATTCTCCCATCAGTTCTGCAATACCCTTACCTCTATTTCATGCCTACTACAGCTGCCTCCTAACTTAAGTCAACCTCGTACCTTATCTCCTTTGTTTTACTAAAGCTTCAACAAAAGAAAACCAAAACAGCACTGGCAATGACTACACCCCAGATGATTAGAAAATTGTCTGCCTTTCTCTAAGTATGGGTTGCTGGTTTGGGTCTCTCTCTCATCCAAGTTGTCTATCTTCATGAATCTTGTTAGACTGTAATTTCTTTGGAACTACCTGAATCAGATTTCATGGAAGTTAGCCAAAAGGTTCAGAACTGACTGGAAGTAGAACAGAACCTCAGGTTTCAAGAAGCCAGACTCAGAACATTACATGTCATGCTTTGGCAAGATCTCTCTTGCAGGTTCCCTGCAACTTCTGTTTACTAAGGGTGACATATTACTGAACCAATTGTTTCCTGTCTCCCCTTTCAGAAAATTTTATCAAAATGAATATATTGCAAATCTTAATCTTTATAACAGACAGAGTAATTGAATAATTACCTATAATGTCTGGAAATGCTAGATGAGGTAGTTTCTTTCATACTGGCAGCACCTGTGGATTCCACATCTGAGGTATTGGATGAATGTGCAGTTCCATCAGATTTCCTGATATGCAAGATAACAGGGTTGCCATGTAATGAAAATAAACTTATATTAAAAACTGGGCTGACATTTCAGAAACAAACAGAAAAGTGACATGGTATTATAACGTTTTACAGAGGTTTATTTTTTTTTTTAAATTTACCCAACAGTGCAAGGTAATTCCAAGGCTGGGTTCTCTATCACTGGAACTGGTTCATTATCCTAAAGCGGGGGGTGGGGAAAAAAAAAAAGTACTTCAAATTCAGTTTTTATTGCTGTATGAATTTTGTGTGAGGGTGAATGGGGCAATACCATGATTCAGATTAACTGGTTATGTTTTTCTTCAAAAATTATAATCCATTTAGAGGGAAAAGGGGGGAGAATATCTAAAACCTTACCAGAGGAGATGACTCTGGAGTTTTGTGAATCATCTTTCTTGTATAGGGACCAGGTGGACGACCTACTGATTTTTTTTTCCCCTTTCTTTCTATACCATTACTTAATTCCCTAGAAGAAAGTTTATATTTTGTTCTGTATTATTGAAGATAATTTTCATTCAATACATGTTTTCCTTTGGCAATGAATACACAGTTAGATTTCTATTGCTAAAACAGTGCTAAATAAGGTTATTCTGGTAAATCAAAACTGTCAGGTACAAAACTACGTATCTTTGCCTCTAGAATAACATAAACAGATACAAGATCTTTATAGTTACATTACTGATTCCCTAATGTGGAAGGGGAAGAAACAAGTATTACATGTTGTTTATTCATATGATCACACTTGGTAAAAAAGATGGCACATTTATTAATACAAATTACAACTTCACATCATACTTCCTATTTAGAATTCTAGTTAGATTATTGCATAAGAGCTCCAGAAAGGCAAGAGATTTTGTTTCCCAAATAGCAAAGTTGGGATATTTTCTATTGGTCTTACTGCTAAATTTCATGTTGGGTTTTTGGGGGTTCTTTTTAGCAGAATCCTAACAGAAAACTAAGTAAATTTGTTCGAAGACCTTGTTCTCACAAATAGTCCACCTTTATAGTTATTTAAAAAAAAATAAAATGAAAAGGTCTTTTTTTGTAGGCACCAAAAAATATACCCAAAGTAGCCCCAATTTACCACAACATTGCTAGAATAACTGGGTTATTTTACCTCACATCAGGGATTGGTTTAGATGATTTTCTGCCTTTAATTTTGAACTCATGAGAAGTTCCTTCTGGTTCTTTCTCAGCCTTTAAAGCAGCATTTGGTGGCACAGGAGGAACACGAATTCTCAAGCCAAACAAATGCTTCTTTTTCTTTATTTCTTTTCCAGACATAAACCTAGATGATTTTAAATTAATTGTTAAAATTCTCAGCCCAGAGAAAGCAATTTTAAAAATAACAGTGTACATGCAAAACAAAGCTAAGCAAATTAGAATATTCATTCTATTGCTATTTCATTCCCGTCTTTCCCCTAACACAATCCTCACTCTCAAATGAGAACTGTGAAGTGGAAAGAGGATGGAAGTTAAAATAAATTTCTTATGATCTGGGTTCCACTCAAGTAGTTATGTAATGTTGTAGTTTGAAACAATATTTAAAATCTAAATGTTATCTGCAGCCAAAACGATTATCATATAGACTGAGCAAAGGAGACTGAAGACTGTAACCTACATCAGATTAAACAGGCAAACAACATTTAAAACAAGAAGTACCAATAACTTACATGGTCTTGTAATCATTTAATGCCTCCAGTACATGCTCATATCTTTCAGATTTTGGTGTATCTGCCAGCTGTGAAGTATTAAGAAATCATTTAACCTGTCAAATTCTTTTAGAAAGATTTCAGTTACTTTGAGTTACTGTAACTACAGATTTGGATGTGAAGTACATTTATGAAGTATTAGCTGTGGAAACTACTTAACCCAAAGGATATTAATCATTTTCCCATATATTCTGTGATTTACATCCACAGAATTCATACCAGGATCAAGCCCAGGCCAAAGAATTTGAGTTTCACTTGTAAGAAGTGCAAGAAAAACATCTCAAAGAATTTTAGTATACTCTTAAGAACATGATGCTAGCATGGCCTCCCAAGACTGCTAGAAGAATTATTCTGTGGCATTATGTACTCCCAAATTAATTGAGATTGCAAGCAGAAGATAACTATATTGACACAAAAAGTTATTTTAATGGTGATGATTTTAACCAAAACCCTGCCACAGAACCCAATTCCCATTTTTGCCACCATTACTCAAAATGATACAAGAAAATGGGAGAGGCCCAGAAAAGCTATTAGCATTTTAAAAAAAGTAAATCCATTTTCAAGCCCCTTTTGGTAAGACCCAGTCTAACCCCCCTTCTTGCACCAAAGCCTGAAGTAGCCAGTGTCTATCAAGCTACCAAAACATGGAATCTTCCTCTGAAAAATGGCATACTTATGAATTAGAGATATAAAGCAGGATAAGTATGATGGTAACTATAAAGAAGTGAACACAACAGTTATGTAATAGAATTTAAAATTAAATATTTTTATATTTAGACAGCTATTTTTAAATTCCAGTGAAGCTACCATATTTCCAGTTGCCATGCCAAAATGTTCCAGAATTTATATCCAATTGGGTCTGCAGTAAATTTACCTTTAGAGTTGACAAACAATTTAAGTTTCACTATTAGTATGAATACTACAGAGCAGACTGTACAGCATTTGCAGCTCAAAAAAACGAACACCCACACCTTCAACCATTTTCTAAAGAATACAATTCTGACCAAACAGGACAGAAAGAGATGCTCAAAGGATTAAATGTGCCAACAGCTAAATAAAAGAGAAAATATACTCATAAACCTTAACCTTTTAACACAATTTTGGGCAAGATTCACAGTCAGTATACCTAACAAAGAGCTGTGTTCAACCAATTTTAGCCAAAGAAAGTAACACCTGTTACACATCTTTACCATACAATTCAGTACAATTCGTTGCTATTTAGAGGTCTTGCAACTCTGCAGCACTTAACTATAAAAAACTGCCATATATTTATTGCATCCTCAATAATAACATGCTAAGTATTATTGGCTTTGAAGGTCTGATAATTCCACCATTTACTTCTATCTTACCTATGGCTAAAAACCTTTTCTTCTTATTCAATTATAAGCAGCTAGAGAAAGAAACCAAAGTTTAATTTCTAACATTGGCAAGCTAAGAATATTACAAAAACCTTAAAACCATTATGTTGTATATCTTTTCCCTTCCACAACTAAGTTCTGTTTGATAAAGAAACCAGATTAACTGAAGTAGTAAAATGAATTTGCCTCAAATTTTGCAAGACACGATTTTTCCCAACTTAGTGACAGACATTCAGAATCTTTTCAGAATAAAGTCTTGAAGATTTCCTCAACACAGCTTTTATTCAAAATCCACCCCTTCAAAAATGTAGTCTTCAGACTTAAAAGTAGTAATTTCTTTGAAGGTGTAGAAATACTGATTCAGGAATTGAAAATACCACTTAAAGAAGTGAGTTTCCTTGTTCTGGATCTCCCCTCTCTTCCCTTCTCCTTAGTTATGTGTTTTTCACATAGATTGACCATGCATGGATTCAAAGCAGAAGAAGGAAGGAAGAGCACAAAGAGGACTGTAGCCTTTCAACTTCTTCAAAATGGCATGTGTGCTCCAAGTCAATGGCTTGGAACTAGATAGCTCCACTCTCCTCATCTACACCACAACTGCTCTGACAGGCCATTCTGACATGAAATTATGTTAAATCTAAAGAAAATTATATCATGTGAAATAAACAAACATTAATTTCTTCTGCATTTCCCTCAATAGTAAGAGAACAGTCAAATAACACTTGCATATTTGTTAAACTGAACGCAAGATAGCCAGAACATTTCATTCTATTGAAAAGATGGTGTGATAATTACATTTTGTGCAGCCTTTTTTTAAAGGTTGTGACTTAATGATAGAATCATTGACTTGATATGACTTAGTTAGGAGATGCCATACATCCCAATGTAAACCAGGTGTCTACTCATAACACTAATTGTCCTTTTTCAGTAATGCTTGAGTGTTTACTTGTGTTTCTAACTATTGACACTCATAATCTAAACATTTATTTTAAACTACTTTCCATTATTTATGAAAAAGTTACTCATTTAAACCAAGAACATACATTTGATTCTCAAATTGTGTCTGCTAGCAAAAATGGGTAACAGATGTATGAATTTAATGAACTGCAAAAGGTAGGATGTACTCATAAGAAAGTTTCAAAGCAGTTACATGCAACCTATATTAAAAAAAGTTTAAAACCCTAAACAATTTTCATGCACAAAAAAATGCCTATTCTACGAGCAGTATGCCAATTTAAATTTAGACATAAATTTTGCGTCCAACCTTACATGCAGAAACAAGTATCTACACTGCTCCTCTTGATTAAATATGAAGTCAGTCTGCCTGGGGAAATGGATTTCCTTTTATGCTAAAATAACTGCCCAGTAAATCAAATAGCTGGAAAAATAACTAGTAGAGCAGTGAACTAAAACCAAGATGCCTTGACAAGCAGCAGAATCACCTGGAAAAGGACCAAAACAATCTTTAGACCTGGACAGAAACTGATCACCCCCATGTTTGGAAGAGGGAAGAAAAAGGAAATGTTTGTGTACAATAATTTAAGTGTTACATCTTAGAGACTTTGAAGATATCTTCATACGCAATATAATCTGCATTCAGTTCTACATTTAGATTTTCTAGTCTGCACAAATGAAAATATGAAAGAACTATGAGACAATTATAAAATTAAAGAAAAGGAAAATACTTATATATGACAGAATAAACAGTTGAGTATAAATAAAGTTGCCATACAAATAATGAAATATTAAAATAACAGTTACATGGACCACTTCAGAACTTTTACAGCTCAGAAAAGTGTACAGCACTTAAAAAGCATTCTATTTCTGCCAGAAAATTAATGAGGAGACCATCTTTATTTCCAGATTTTAAGGTAATATAAAGGATTTAACATCCAGAATAAAACAGTTGATAGGTCACTATCTTTCAGGACATATGTATGCACTCTGAGGAAAAACAAGAGAGTATTCCGCTTACTTACCTCACCAGGATGCAATCTATCCCAGTTTTCATTAATGTAGGCCATGAGTTCAAGCTCCGAATCAAAGTATTTCTTCTTATGAATAACACTTAGGTTGTAAAGGCATAGATGTGCTATATCTACCCTAGAATTCAGAAATACATGAATAAAAACCAGAACAAGTTGTTTTCTTCCAATTGCTTTTCTTTGAAATAATTCAGTAAAAATATTAGCACGATATAATTAGAGGAACACAAAACACTACTTAAAACACTTGATCCAGGGAACACCACTATGAAGTCTCCTGTCATTTTTCTTCAAGTGTTTCCTTCTGCTTTGAATCTTACTGTCATCTTTGCTTCATCTCATTGTCATGATGTTCTTTTAAACTCCAAAACTGGTCTAAACCATGGGATATTTAAGTAAGTCCAAATTCACACTTGGATGTATCAATTCTGAATTCATGCAAGTATTTTGGTGAATTAACATTTAACAAGGTAATTTCCACCATATATTTGTTAGTGCATGTACCCACTAAACTGGATATAATTTCTAATATGGGTTAGTTCAAAGAGTTCAAACTACAACTAACCATTAAGTCTAATCAAGGAAACTATTATAAAATGTGTCAGGATGTGTACTCTAGCAGTTCCAAACATTTGGCTTATCTAATGGCAGGATCCTAAACCTGCAAAAAAGACTTTGTTCAGCTATTTGAATCTTCACATATACAACAATCGAGTAGTTGCTTGCTAGTTTACTGAACAATTCTAGGAATAAATCCCAAGAGCACACAATTGCAATACATCTCTACATTTAAGGATAAGCTGTGAAGGACAAGTTGTCCCTGTTCATAAAAGCAGTAAGAACAACTCAGGAAACAAGACAGCAAGTGGATTTCCTTTTTTGCAAGGCAAATCAAAACACCAAAGAGAAAAGCAAAGCATGTATTCAGCTCACACACACATCCTTTTTTTTTTTTTAAATTCATACTTACCATCTCAAGGGTAAACGTTTGAGGTATTCTGGTCCAGAACTGCAAACTGAGCAAATGAACGTATAAAACCTAAAAATACATACATATACATGTGTATTTGTGTCTGGGTGGTAGGTGTCTGTACACACATACTCTTAATATTTTAAGACACTAGTTATGAAAAAAATTAAAGTTAAGCAAACTAGAGACCCAGCCATATGATATTTGAGAGTCCCTTCATCCTCCTTCCTTTACCAACTTCTACAATCTGTGCTGGTACTTGCCTGGCCAGATACACAGTACTGCCTCAATTTTATCCTGGTACCACTGTTTCACACTCCTTAAGAAATTCCCTCAACCTGTGACTGTATCAGTGAAGATGCTCTGTCACAGCCCCACTCCATTCTCTCGAATGGAGAAACCTGTGCACCAGTGCAAACATGCGTTTAAAGGACCCATACATTCCTGTGTCCTAACTCAGTTCCTTCATACAAACAGTCCAGCAAAACCAACAACTAAAAAGAAAGTATAATAGATAATGAGGTACTCCTTGATTCCCTTCTCCAGTTTTCTCTCAGCTGCTCCACGTTCCTCTTAAAATGAAAGCACAGACCAGAGCTCTTTTTCATTTCCTTTTGTCCCATCTCATCACACATGAACAGAGAATGTACAGAGTTCCCCTCAGTCTAATTGTCCTTCCAGTTTTCTCCAGTTCCTTATATTGTTAGTACAGGGAACTACTACTGCACACACACTGACAGCCTACGTTGAAGCATGGTGCCTGTTGCATACAAGAAATTAGTGACCTACACAATGTGAACTTGAAAGCCCTTATGTAACTTATAGGCCCACTAAGTGGTCTGCTTTAAAGCTTCCAAACTCCCAGTAGCCAGCACCTGTAGTATAATGGACTTACACAGAAAAGTGAAGTCAGTTAACAGTTTGAATTTAACTATCCACTGGTTACCTCTCCATCACCCCACCTTCCTTCATTAAACTAGGACGAAGAACTGCATTTTCCTGGCATCTGAACACATGCTTTAATTTCATGTAATCCTCTACACAAAACACACCCCATTTTTTGGAAAATACTGTTGTATTACAGATGCCTTAATAAAAGCTCATATGTGAGATTCCCTCCATATTTTAAATCAAGACAACCATAAAGTACAGCTTAAGTTTCTCACCTGTCACCAAAAAGCATTGGCTTTTGGAGGCACTGCACACAAGCCTCATGAAACCACTGCTTACATTTGCAGCACTGCAACATCTTTAGATACCAGCTTCACCAACAGAAAGAAAAACAAGGTGTTAAAGTCACTGAAAATTGTTCTTCATTACATCTAAATTAAATAGCAAGGGATCTCCTGATCCAAACAAATTTTTGCTGTTTATAAAACAAACTGTCATCTGTAGGGATATTTCAGTAACATTGAGTTCCACAATGAATCATTAGTAGAAAAGAGCGACTAAGAAAAGATAGCCTAGTAAAAGGATGAATTAAGTTATTAAATGAAGAAAATAAAAATTCAACTTCATCTGAGAGCCACCTTTTAATTCTCAATAATAAGAATTCAATAACTCCATATAAGCTCCTTCTCACATACCGGATTAGCTTCCTTGTTATTTCCCAAAGCATGGCACAACCACATTAAGTCACAAACATTTGTTCTGAGGATTCAACTACTTGAATCGTCAAAATGAACTTCATAGTTTACACCTTTTTTTCCCCTTTTTCAGCTTCTCCCTTGAGAAACCATGCAAAACTGAAGGCAATGTTTGTCCAAGTTTGCAAAATTCTCAAACCAGAGCTCTGTCCTGTGAGTATAAACACAAAAGCTTCGCTTCTTTGTGTGACTCTTGATTTGCCTGGACTTCAAATCTTCAATGCTATTTTAGACATTCACTCATCCATGCAGACACCAGAGTATTTATCTCTACCTGCTTAAGAAGTTCTCTTCTTGCCTTTCTTGTAAGAAAGAACCAGCAGAAGACTCTGTAATGCCATAAGAGGAAAAAAAGTCTTTCCCCCGCCAATAATTGCAATCCAGGGCATGATGTTATGGTAGAATCAGACAACTGTCTGTTCCAACAAAATTAATAAACTAATCTCTTGATACATTTACATTTGTTACTAATGACAGAGCTGAATTAACATCAGAAAAACACTGCCTAGAATTTCAAGAAAATCGACAACTCCATGCAATCTCAACACATTAACAATAGCCACGCAAAAAAAAAAATCTCGCTTGTTGTAGAATGGACTGATGTTATGTGATGGCCACATGACAATTAAACAAATCAAAAGATCTGATAGGAGAAAGAAAGCCAATAACAATGTATTTCCCATGAGAATTTTAAAAGAAAAATTCAAAAAATTCTACTTTGCATCAAATTTAATAGCTACACACAATAGAAACAAACTAACAAGTTCACAAGTAAAAGTCTACAGGATCGGGGCCAAAGTTTGCAGCTGCATTATGGAGAAAAGTTCTTACATATTATCTGTTTACTTACTCTCCAGGTCCTCCACAATAGCAGTAACACTGCTGGACATTGGTTTTATGACCTGCATCCCATTCAAGGTCTGTTGCATTATATGGTAATGTTTGTTTCATGACTTGCAGTGCTTTGGCATTTGGTCCTTTCTTAAGCGCACCACCCCTCTGGGCCAAAACACATACAGCAGTTAACAAAAAATATTTCTGAAGCTTTCAAGTCCCTTAATTTTAAAGTTATGAAAGTTTATCTATAAACAAGTAAAACATTTTCACCAGTACTTATGTTTTAATACTAGCACATTTGGCTTTCAATTTATTTTTGAAAAGTGTCATCTATTTCTAAAATAAATATTAAATCCCAATATACAGAAACTTCCATTCAGATCAAAGTTTAAAAAAGGTATCACTGAAAAATGCCATTTCTTTTATTTTTGTTTCAACTTCAAAAGCAAAGTTTGCATGCAATATGGGATGTATTAAGAAACATTTTTCTAGAAACACACCTTTGTTGTTGTTGCAAAGACACACTGCCGACAGAGCCATTTATCATCTGACTCAATCACACTGGAATCAATATTTGGTGTGTGACACAGCTGATGATAACCTGTATAAAAAATGATCAACCAAAGTGTTTATTAAAATGGCAAAAGAAGCTTACACAAAATTAACTATATAATTTTAATGCAACTATAAAGGCATTATCCATCATTAAGTGACAAAAATCCAATCAAAAAGATTGGTATCACATTCAAAATGGTCTTTTAAATTTTCTTAGTGGAAAAAATAAAATTTACTTACAGAACAGGTGTTAGTCACTTTAACATGGATTATCATTATTCACTGAGGTGTTAATAGCCACTAAGGGCTATAAAATTTAAGATCAGTTGAGCAGTCAGTCATAGCCAGGCAAATATCCTCCTTCATAAAACAAATCAAAATATCTTTTAAAATGCAGTAAATAGGAAAAAAAAACTAGTTACCTTGCCCACATTTATCACATATAACCATTTCATTCGGTGCTTCTGAATACTCTTCCTGACATATTGTACAGACCATTTCCCCACTTTCAGTGGCTCCTAGACAAAGATGAAAGTGTGATTTTTTTTTTCAGATTATATCTGCAGTTGGAATGGTTACCACACCTGTGGATTTTTTCATGATTTCAGTTACAGATCCATGCATTGTAGAAACATTGTTACAGAGCCTTACTTCCTAACAAAAATTCATTCAGACATTTTGTACAGACTGTATGTGTTACAAATATTTAGCAGTTATCATAGGCTACATATTGCCTATTTACTATGCAGTCCATGGTTTCTTAGTATCAACAATAAAATTAAACAACAGAATAAAGAATGTAAACGCAGGCTAAAAAACCTTGTAGAAACAAATTCTATCTGGACAACTGATATGTGTTGTATTTACAGTAGTTTGTGCTTTTTTTCTTGTAAATATATGCACAGTTCAGTTCGTATCTTTTTGACAGATCTTTCCAAGGTGCTTTAATATTAAACTCCAACACTCTTAGGAAATACGTTATTACTACTTTTATATATATCTGCAAGCATACAAAAAGCACACGGTCACAGTAGAGGTAAGAAAAAAGTTAGCTTGCAAACTGGAAACAAAAAATACATCTTGCTCCAATTATACCACATATCAACATAAAAATCTGGATTAAAATACAAGTTACTTAACCTACGCTATCACACTCATGCACTAAAGTTTGATAGTTACAATAAATGAATCAAAGATCATGAACTAGTACTATACAGAAGCAGAGCAGCACTATTTTAAAAGCTTCTCAGAAATAAAGCAGTTGATTTTTTGCTATTATGAATATAAAGCTTCTCCTATTAGCAGATAAAGTGTTTAGTTTAAACATCAAGAATCAGCAAGAGCCAAAAGATTTTCATTGCCTTTACATAAGGAAATTGTAATTGATTTTCAGAAATTGTCATCCCTGCTTCATTAGCATTAGATTATCAAAATACTAGCTACTCCCCAAATATCTGAAAAATCAAAGCTAATATACAATAGATGTCTCACTTGATAATTGCACATTTCTTTATATCACATGAATGCTACAAAATCTGTAACAGTTTCTTATGTGCAACAGTTATGGTGTTACTTTTAAATGTTAAAACTCCATTCAAACCTAGGACTTTCCAGTCTTTGGTTTCTTTCCACATCATGTTGTTTCAACTGAAAATAATAGGAGGACATAAACTCAATGTAAATTAGGGCCTGGAGTTTTCTATTAAGACAGAGTATTATACTCTATCCTCATCCAAATAAACTCAATGTTATTATTTTTAGAATTGTTCTCCTCTCCCTGCATATAGTTATGGGAAAACAAACAAAAAAAGTAACTGCAATCATAAGCAGTTGTTTGAAAAGATTTTTTTTTTTTTTTTAATTTGCCCAATTCATGATCCTGGGTCACATTAAACTATATCACTCTTTAGGATACAAGAACATAATGTAATAATTTATTTTAACAGATGTAGTAATCTAAGCAAATAAAATACCAAACAATGACTACTTCAGTGAAGTTCTTGCCTGTTTGTATGTCCTTCCAGAGAACCCAGGATTTGGAACTGTCTTCAAATATAATGAAGCAGTTCTGTTTCAGTTTGTTTATCTGAAAAACAAAAATACAGTGGAAGCCATGAGTAAAAGGACTAAACAGAAGAATGTATTTTATACTGAGACAATAATACTGTAATATTTAACCAACATACAATACTGCAAGACACCAGTGAAATTAAAAATTTATTTACCTTTTTGATAGTTCCAAGATAAAACAAGCCATCTGACCATCTAGCTAGGACATCCTGACCTTCTTCAAATTTACACAGTGGCTTTTTGGCTTTCTGTCCATCACGTAACGACAGCTTGGTCAGAGATGCTGAGCTCTTATGGCTTCGACGTAAAGGAGACCGCTTATGGACCAGTGAATTACCCACCACTGTAGAGTCTCTAAAGTAATGGAAGCAAGAGAACAGGTAATCAGAATTAGGTTAGAGTAAGAAACCATATATTTTAATTATTCACAGCTAGAACTCACTTGGCTAACTCCAGAACTTCAGGTAACTAGAAACTTGGTCATATTTTCAGACTTTAAGCACTTTCAGTAGCAGTGCTTCCACTACTATAGGAGTCTACAAAATTTGAAAGAGACAAGTTTATATAGAGAAAAATCTTGTATGAAACCAACTAATGTAAAGGCGGATGGGGAGATACAAACTTTCCAGCTCAGAGATTCTTCATGAAGTCACCAGAAGCATCAAAGAATGCATAAAAAACATTCAATAGAAGATTACTTAGGCAAAACATGGGTCACTGACAGTTTTCTAAAATTCCAGGGAAGCTAAAGAGGTCCCAAGCCATTCTAACTACATTACCTTGGCAGGGAGACCAGTAGTTGACAATTAACATGGTACTCAGCAGTTAGTTACTCAGAATGAAAAACAAAGAAAAACCCAAACACAGAACAAAAAAGAAAGGGAGAAAGAAACCAGATTGAGCATTACGCTAACTCAAAGTCTATATTAACTCAGGTACCTCCAACACAGCATCATGCTTTGCCACTAAACATAGCTGTAGATGTTTCCAGGACAGGAAGAATTACTACATTTTACATTAGAAATTTAACATAAGTTTTCCTCTCTGTTAGGATCAGGGAGGAAAAAGAGTAAGGAAGGAAAAACAGAAGATCTTGCACCCTTTCTTCACACATAAAACTCAAAATTATAAATTACTTGAATCAATCATCATTTTTCCTCATACAATTCCAAAATATATAGCCTATTAATATGTAAGTATGAATATGCTTTTATATCAGACTAGCTATCAAACACTACATTGCAAGGAAAGGGTTAAAATATAGAAAATTATAAAATACGACCAAATAATGCACAAAGAATCTTTGTAAGTAACAGACAGAATTTGAGACTATAAAGCAAAGTTACCATTCCTATATCCAAACAAATTTTCTCTTTAGAAACTGAAGGTATGTATAACTATGACACAAATACAAGGACAGGGCAGGGAGTTAAGCAGGATAGTTAATTGAAAGAGCAAAGTTTCACCTCACTCAAGACAGCTTAGGTACATTATCAGCACCAGAAACATTTGAATTAAATCACAAAGCACCAACAAAATGCGTAAATTAATCCATGTCCTATATAATTTGATTAGAATTACTATTGAGGTGTTACAGAAGTTAGTCTAAAATTTCAAAGAGAAGGGAATCCTTTCTCCCTAAAAAGTTTACTGTTTACATTCAATACGAAAATAAAACTGGAATTATAATGGCATCAAAAATATGCAAAAATGCCGAAGTTAATATTATAGAGAGCAATCAGCATTTTTGTACTAAACAGTTTAAACCAAGAAGGTTAGTCACAAGAAAATAAGACAGCTGTTTTAAGCATATTTATAATCAGTGTAAATCTAAACTATTACATGAGAGTAAGAGCAGCCATAATGAGCCAAGTGTTCCACCTAGCCCAATAACACTGGCATCCTCATCCACAACTGGGTCACCAGTTTAAAGTCCTGCCTGATCCCAAATAGAAAAATATTCAGACAGGTGACTAGGGAAAACCAGCAGAACAGACAAAACTTAGAATAGCACTCCTCTCCCAAATATTCTCTAGGTCTCTTACAAGCTGTAGATCCAAAGATCTCAAGGAGTAACATTTGGGTTTTTTTAGTCCTTAGTAGGATTTCCTACATGTTTTGTTAAACCTGTAAAGCAGCATTTCTTTGGCTTGTTTCACAGCTGGCACCTTGTCACTTCATTTGACACCCTTCCTCACTGCATCAGAAAACTAAACTGTCATTTTCCATCTTCTCCCTTCATGCCCCAGTAACAATATTTAGACCCACCCAGCCATATTTCCCAGATAAAATATCCTACCAATTCTGCTGCTTCTCATATGAAAGCTATTTAGAGTTACCACTGCTTTTCCCCAGTTCTACTCTAACCTCTGATAAATGGGACACGATGCATGCAGTATTCAAAATAAGTTTGTTAACAGGATAATAGCATGGCAGTCCAGGCCAGTTTTTACTCTTTGCTCCTTTCCAACTAATAACATTTGTAGCCTTCCCACACACACTGCAATCAGGCACCAAGTTAAATATTTCAAGGAATTATTAGAAACTGCAGATTCTCATTCTAACTGCTCCCAGACTACTGTTTCTCTTTCCATTGCGTATTTCTGTTTTGTACGAGACTTCATTTGCCAATTCATTATACAGTCACTCAGTGGCTTGAAGTCCTTCTACACTTTCTACATTATTCTGAGTAACCTCATATCCTTAGAATATTTTATCATTTAAACTTACCATCTTTTGTACATCACTGCAAGCTTTTGCCCCTTATCTTCTACAGTAGCTTAAATTTTTGCAAGGGCCTCTGAAGCAGGGCCCCAGCCCTTAACACTTGTTGCAATCACATTCTACTCTCTCCTTTGCACCTGTACAACCATTTATACACGCAAGTACCAAACAGGCTCAGAAACAACTGTGCCTGAAGTCAGCCAGTCAAGAGGAAAAAAGTCTTCTTTTTTTTCCTTCCTCAGTTCCCCAAACCTTTCTGACTACACACATCTCCAACTTAGCACAACGCAAGCAACATTCAAAGGCTAGGCAATGCTTGATCAAAACAGCCTAGATATAGTTGTAAAACTATAACCTGGTCTCAGACAATAATTCTTTTCTTGGAAAGGACTCATCATTACCAAGTATTAAAGTATTTAGATACTTCAAATTACATCTATGAACTTGATTTAGCACATTAAACAGGTCTGTAAGTTGCCATGTGTAGTTCAAAGCACCTAAAGCTAATTCACTAGTGCACCTTGAAACAGTTTAACAAGCGTTTTAACAGGACTACTCTCTTCTCGAGGTCCAAAGGTTTTGTTTCCCCCTTTTTATCTGGTTTGATTTAAAAGACTAGAGAAAGCAGCTAAAAGGCAGGAATGTTGGCTCTTCTTTTCCAGTACTTGAGGGAAAAAAGGTGTGAAAGATTTTGTATAGAATAAGCAAAAAGACACAGTCAATTCATTTATTATATATAATCTAGTACAGATTTCCATTTAAAAATCAACAATTATTTGAGTCTTATATTAAAAAGGTCTTCAAAAGCATATGACATTCTTTTAAGTACAGATGTTTGTCCCATAACTCTGTTCAAATTCCAACAAAAATGCATCATGCATCATTTTCTGGCACAAATCACTTGAGTCTATACATTGACTTATACAACAGCCTAAATTCACAATAGCTACTTCAGACACTGAAGGATCTTGACACACAGTAAAGGTCTGAGCCAATAAAGCAGACACTTCTCCATTGTCCACATTGCTGTCTTTGTGGGAGATAGCACTGCTGAAGTGATGATTAAACAGCTCATGAAGTAGCTCCTGCTGTGGCAGTTTATGGTTTATCTAACACATAGACTGAAAATAGGGTTAGTTATCACAATAGGCTGACACTTGGAGCTAGCTTAACAGTTGCTTTCCACATGGATAAGAAGTTCCTCTTCAGGGAAACATTGCCTCAATGTTTTTGATGGAGATTAAGTGGGAAGTGCTACTGTTTTAACAAGTTGACTTTAATTAGCAAGCCATAAGTTACTTGAAGTAGGTGCCTCTGAACTGCCTTCTGGAAAGACTGCACAAGAAATCACAAGAAATTCAGTGCAGACCAGTGTAAAAACTATAGGCCTAAAACGTTAATAACTCTCTCGCCTGTCTTGCCACAGCTCTCTTTACTGTAGTGGAACACCAAAAAGTCACACCAACCATTAAAAGAAAATTTCTATTGGAAGTTAAGTGAAAATGTAAACTCAGATTAACTTCCTGCTTGCCAATTTTGAAATTAAAGGTTCCACATTTTCCAGAAAATTGCTTTCAAGTCTTCCCTAAACTTAGCTCCATAGCACCTTCCTACCATACCATTTACAGTTACCAACAAAATTAGTAACCATTAAGTAACAATTTCCCCGTCATCTTAAACACCTCCCCTTCTCATTCCAAAATATCTGACAGATGTCTTGTTTTACAGAAAAACTTACCCAATTTAAAAAAATCTACTTTATCTCATTTAACTTGTACAACTAAGCTACACTGCATGTCATACAGCATGCCCAGCCTACCTTGGCTTTACATCCTTTAGTCAATATGTTGTGGCTGTATTCTTACTCAAGCACTTGAAATGCAAAGTACCTACATGCCCATACAATCTTTCAGAAGATAGTGGGGCAAGTCAGTAAAATGTGTCTGCATGTTGAAATACGCTTCAAAATAGAAGTGCACTTTCACCATTTCTTGAGAAGTTGATCTAGTGAAGTACTGAAAATGTTCACTGATTATTCACCTTGGAGTCTGGATCATAGCCATAGACATTCTCAAGCAAGACAGGGAGAAGACCTTCTATTCATCTACTTAATGAATTAGTTTATAATATGCTACATTTCTATATTAGTTTATAATACGCTACAGGAGATAACTGTGATTCTTTGTGAACAGGAATGGCAAACTCCCTCCTGAAGGCAAGTTACCTAAATCCATCTGATTTATGAACCATGACAACTTGCTATGTATAGCACTGTGTTTATCAAAGTAAAAGTTAGATTTCTGTTAGTTTTTACTTGTTTGTAATTCTTTCTAATCTCTTTATTAGAGGTCAGAAAATTTCAATGTTCATTTGGTGCCTTTGACTCCCGTACCTCCACAGCAATCCTACAGAAGGAAGATGGAGAAAGGTTAAGAGAAAGATGTGAAGAGGCTGGAGGGTTAAAAAGATAGAGCACTCTCCCTCTTGTTTCCAAGTGTCTTTTTCCTCAGCAGCACTGCCATGTTAAGATCATTCATAGTCCTGTACTCCTTCAATTGTAGCAACTGCTGTGAAACAACTCCTGTTATGAAAACTTTCCTTGACAGCATTACTTTTTCAGCCATCTCAGT